TCCTTAAAAGGTATTTCCCTTATTAAAGTGTATATCCCTTCTTTAAAGGGTATGTCCCAATTAAAGTGTATGTCCCTTCCTTAAAGTGTATTTTCCCCATTAAAGTATATGTCCCTTCCTTAAAGGATATTATTATATTATATTATACAGGATGTTTATAGCGCCAACAGTTTGCGCAGCACTTTACAATATGAAGTCAGACATGACAGTTACAATACAATTTGGTACAAGAGAAAACAGAGGGCCCGGCTAGTTAAAGCTTACAATCTAGGACTGTCCCCCATTAAAGTGTATGCCCCCTCCTTAAAGGGTATGTCCCTTATTAAAGCATATATCCCTTCTTTAAAGAGTATGTCTCTCATTAAAGTGTATGTCCCTTCCTTACAGGCTATGTCCCATATGAAAGTGTACAGTATGTCCCAGAAGTGAGTCCCCCCTCCCCCGGACTGTATATAATGCATATATATATATATATATATATATATACAGTATCTCCCAAAAGTGAGTCCCCCCCCTCCCCCGGACTGTATATAATGTATATATATATATACAGTATCTCCCAGAAGTGAGTCCCCCCCTCCCCCGGACTGTATACAATGTATATATATATGAGTCCCCCCCCTCACATTTGTGTCAATATTTGATTCTCTCTTTTCATGTGACAACACTGAAGAAATGACACTTTGCTACAATGTGACGTAGTCAGTGTACAGTTTGTATAACATGGAAATTTGCTGTCCCCTCAAAATAGCTCAACACACCGCCATTAATGTCTAAACCAGCCGGCAACAAAAGTGAGTCCCCCCCTAAGTGACAAGGTCCAAATTGGGCCCAATGAGCCATTTTCCCTCCCCGGGGTCATGTGACTCGTTGGTGTTACAAGGTCTCAGGTGTGAATGGGGAGCGGGGGGGTTACATTTGGTGTTATCGCTCTCACTCATACTGGTCACTGGAAGTTCAGCATGGCACCTCATGGCAAAGAACTCTCTGAGGATCTGAAAAAGAATTGTTGTCTACATAAAGATGGCCGAGGCTATAAGAAGATTGCCAAGACCCTGAAACTGAGCTGCAGCACGGTGGCCAAGACCATACAGCGGTGTAACAGGACAGGTTCCCCTCAGAACAGGCCTCACCATGGTCCACCAAAGAAGTTGAGTGTACGTGATCAGCGTCATATCCAGAGGTTGTCTTTGGGAAATAGACGTATGAGTGCTGCCAGCATTGCTGCAGAGGGTGAAGGGGTGGGGGGGGGGGGGTCAGCCTGTCAGTGGGGCCAGCATTGCTGCAGAGGGTGAAGGGGTGGGGGGTCAGCCTGTCAGTGGGGCCAGCATTGCTGCAGAGGGTGAAGGGGTGGGGGGGGTCAGCCTGTCAAGTGCTCAGACCATACGCCGCACACTGCATCACATTGGTCTGCATGGCTGTGGTCCCAGAAGGAAGATTCTTCTAAAGATGATGACCAAGAAAGCCGCAAACAGTTTGCTGAAGACCAGCAGACTAAGGACATGGATTACTGGAACCATCCTGTGGTCTGATGACACCAAGATACACTGATTGGGTTCAGATGGTGTCAGGCGTGTGTGGCGGCAACCAGGTGAGGAGTACAAAGACAAGTGTGTCTTGCCTACAGTCAAGCATGGTGGTGGGGGGTGTCATGGTCTGGGGCCCCATGGTGGTGGGAGTGTCATGGTCTGGGGCTGCATGGTGGTGGGAGTGTCATGGTCTGGGGGCCCCATGGTGGTGGGAGTGTCATGGTCTGGAGCCCCATGGTGGTGGGAGTGTCATGGTCTGGGGCTGCATGAGTGCTGCCGGCACTGGGGGGCTACAGTTCATTGAGGGAACCATGAATGCCAACATGTACTGTGACATACTGAAGCAGAGCGTGATCCCCTCCCCTTCAGAGACTGGGGCCGCAGGGCAGTATTCCAACATAACGACCCCAAACACACCTCCAAGACCACCACTGCCTTGCTAAAGAAGCTGAGGGTGAAGGTGATGGACTGGCCAAGCATGTCTCCAGACCTGAACCCTATTGGGCATCTGTGGGGCACATCCTCAAACGGTCAAGGAGTGGAAGACGGAAGGTGGAGGAGCACAAGGTCTCTAACATCCACCAGCTCCGTGATGTCGTCATGGAGGAGTGGAAGAGGACTCCAGTGGCAACCTGTGAAGCTCTGGTGACCTCCATGCCCAAGAGAGTGAAGGCAGTGCTGGAAAATAATGGCGGCCACACAAAATATTGACACTTTGGGCCCAATTTGGACCTTGTCACTTAGGGGTGGAGTCACTTTTGTTGCCGGCTGTTTAGACATTAATGGCGGTGTGTTGAGTTATTTTGAGGGGACAGCAAATTTCCATGTTATACAAGCTGTACACTGACTACGTCACATTGTAGCAAAGTGTCATTTCTTCAGTGTTGTCACATGAAAAGAGAGAATCAAATATTTAAAAAAATGTGAGGGGGGAGGGCTCACTATATATATACATTGTATACAGTCTGGGGGAGGGGTGCACTCACTTCTGGGAGATACTGTATATATATATGCAGTATCTATATATATTATAAAGTGGAAGGGAAGGGACATACCCTTTAAGGAGGGGACATACACTTTAATGGGGGACAGTCCTAGATTGTAAGCTCTACGAGCCGGGCCCTCTGTTTCCTCTTGTACCAAATTGTGTTGTCACATGAAAAGATATAATAAAACATTTACAAAAATGTAAGGGTTGTACTCACTTCTGGGAGATACTTTATATCCCTTCCTTAAAGGGTATGTCCCTTATTTATGTCTAGATTCCTTCTTTAAAGGGTATGTCTCCCATTAAAGTGTATGTCCTTTCTTTAAAGGGTATGTCCCCCATTAAAGTTTATGTCCCTTCCTTAAAGGGTATGTCCCCATTAAAGTGTATGTCCTTTCTTTAAAATGTCCCTTCCCCTAAAGGGTATGTTTCCCCATTAAAGTGTATGCCTCTTCTTTAAAGGGTATGTCCCCATTAAAGTGTATGTCACCCCCTTAAATTGCATGTCCCCCCCAATCAATAAACGTCTCTATTGGCTCTATTTCAGTCTGCTGAATATATAATTGAAATCCTTTTGTTACATTTGTTCAAGAACTGCGACCCTGTTGATCCTGTGCAGTCTGTTATCAAACAGTGTTCCCAACCTGTTCTGTTCAACTCTTTGAACTACAGAGCACCTCCCACCTATGTCATGGAGTAGAGAAGGATGGGAAGGTGTTGGGCAGTCTAAACACTTCCAATACCCTAAAGTCGGGCAGTTTGGGCAGTCTAAAACACTTCCAATCCTAAGGTGACAACATTGCTACTCCATAGAGTATGGCAAGTGAGAGTTGTCACTTCAGGACAAGAAAACACACTAAAGATGAATTTCAGGTATGAATAATTTATACAAAGTTCCATTGTTCCAGCTTGGATCAAATATGTATATACTAGACCTGTGGGATTCTCTAGAAGCTGGAAATCACTGGAGTAGACGCTGCTACTACACTGCTACTACACTGCTACTACACGGCTACTACACGGCTACTACACTGCTACTACACTGCTACTACACGGCTACTACACTGCATCTACACTACTACTACACGGCTATTACACTGCTACTACACTACTACTACACGGCTACTACACTGCTACTACACTGCTACTACACGGCTACTACTGTGCTACTACACTGCTACTACACTGCTACTACACGGCTACTACACTGCTACTACACTGCTACTACACTGCTACTACACGGCTACTACACTGCTACTACACTGCTACTACACGGCTATTACACACTGCTACTACACTGCTACTACACGGCTATTACACTGCTACTACACTACTACTACACGGCTATTACACTGCTACTACACTACTACTACATGGCTACTACAGCATTACCACACAGCTACTACACCATTACTGCACTAATATTGCACAGCTACTACACCTCTAATACATGGCTACCCCAACATCAGTGGGAATGACCCCTAACTCACATACAGTTCGATCTTGCAATTTTTTTTTTTTTTTTTGCAACCTTATGAATTATAAAATGTATAAAACATTTATAACATGAAAGTTTTATTTCATATAATTATATAATATTGAGATAACTTTTTATGGGAATTTGGTATTGCTGTGTTATCTTCTGTATTTCTCTCTTCAACTTTCTCCCCATCTCTGCTTCTTTTCTTTTTCTTTCTTTCTTTCTTTTTTTTTCTTTCTTTTTTTTTTTTTTTTTTTTTTCTTTCTTTCTTTCTTTCTTTTTTTCTTTCTTTCTTTTTCTTTCTTTCTTTCTTTCTTTCTTTCTTTCTTTCTTTTCTTTCTTTCTTTCTTTCTTTCTTTCTCTATCTTTTTCTCCCTTTCTCTCTCTCTTTCTTTCTCCCTTTCTCTCTCCCCCTCCCCCCCTCTCTCTCTTTCTTTCCTATTTTTAGTATCGCTCCCTCTTTATACACTGACGATCTATTATTAGAACACAGTAATACTCATTATTTTTGGCTGGCGATGTTGGAATGCACTCACTGCCCCCTTAGTACATAAGTATTATAGTATGACGGTGATGCTTGCCTCTGCACACAGCTGGACCCACATGTGGGTGGTCATGTGACCTGTCCTTGCTGTCGGGGCAGATTTGATGGGGACGTGACGCACCCGCAGATCTGCTGTGGCAAGGACTTTTCTTGCAGATAGGCTTTGTTTCTGGGAGGAAGTGATGAGGGATTCGGCTTATTATAGCTTGTGGTTTGACGATAATATATTTTTTTTTTTTTTTATTGAAGGAATTTATAGAAAAGAAAAGGAAATGGTCAGTTCACATTATCACCTGCTTTACAACCCATAAAAATGTCTGGGCTTCCATTTATGGGCAAAACACAGAGCCGAGACATATCCAGGGCCGTGTGCTTTACCATACATTCATTAAACCATGGAAGCCTTTAAAATGACAGACATTAAATCCTCTCTCCGGCCTCCCCTTCAGTCTTGCACAGGTGTACTGGCTCCTCCCCTTCAGTCTTGCACAGGTGTACTGGCTCCTCCCCTTCAGCCTTGCACAGGTGTCCCATTGGCTCCTCCCCTTCAGTCTTGCACAGGTGTCCCGGCTCCTCCCCTTCAGTCTTGCACAGGTGTACCGGCTCCTTCCCCTCCAGTCTTGCACAAGTGTACTGGCTCCTCCCCTTCACTCTTGCACAGGTGTCCCTGGCTCCTCCCCTTCAGTCTTGCACAGTTGTGTCCCCCAGTCTTGCACAGGTATACCGGCTCCTCCCTTCAGTCTTGCACAGGTGTACCAGCTCCTCCCCTTCAGTCTTGCACAGGTGCACAGGCTCCTCCCCTTCAGTCTTGCACAGTTGTACTGGCTCCTCCCCTTCAGTCTTGCACAGGTATACCGGCTCCTCCCCTTCAGTCTTGCACAGGTGTACTGGCTCCTCCCCTGGACTGAAATGGCTTCCTCTTATGTCACTGCACACTGGGAGCTTCTTACAGAGGAAAGAGGAGAAAGGAGGAGAGGAGAGGATAAGGGAGGAGAGGAGAGAAGAGAAGAGTGATTAGGTGAGAAGAGAAGGGAGGGGAGCCAATGGTAGAAGAGGAGGGGATCGGAAGGAAGGATAGGATTGAGAGAGATGAGGAGAGAGATAGTGATGAGAGGGAAAGAGAGGAGAGGAGGGGGAAGGAGAGGAGAAGATAGGAGAGGAGAAAGGAGGAGAGGAGAGTGAGTAGGTGAGAAGAGAAGGGAGGAGAGCAAATGGTAGAAGAGGAGGGAATCAGATGGAAGGGGAGGAGAGAGAGATAAGGAGAGAGGAGAGAGATAGAGAGGGGAGGAGAGGAGAAAGGAAGAAAGAAGAGGAGAAAGGAGGAGAGGAGAAGTGAGGAGAGGAGGAGAAGGAGAGGAGAGAGAGAGAAGAGTGAGTAGGTGAGAAGAGAAGGGAGGAGAGCAAATGGAAGAAGAGGAGGGGATTGGATGGAAGAGAGGAGAGCAGAGATGAGGAGAGAGATGGAGGGAGGAGAGGAGAAGAGAGGAGAGGAGAGAGAAGAGAGGAGAGGAGAGGAGAAGAAGGAGAAGAGAGAGAGGAGAAGGAAAGAAAGAAGAGGAGAAAGGAGAAGAGGCGAGGGGAGGAGAGGAGAAGATTGAAGAGAAGGGAAGAAAGAAGAGGAGAAAGGAGAAGAGGCGAGGGGAGGAGAGGAGAAGATAGAAGAGAAGGGAAGAAAGAAGAGGAGAAAGCAGGAGAGAGAGGAGAGGAGTAGTGAGAGAAAAAGAGGAGAGAAAAGAAAGGAAAGGAAAAAGGAGGAGAAGAGAGGAGAGGAAAGGAGAAGAGAGGAGAGAAGGAGAAGAGAGGAGAGGAAAGGAAGTTGAGGAAAGGAGATAAAGGAAGAGGATGATACATATATACAGACAGAGATAGATGGAAGTCAGGTCTGTCCCGGCATGGACCGGTTCTGGTACATGAAGGGTGAACACAGTTGGCTGATCCGATGGTTCTGGCTCCGGGGCATTCCTCCAGGAGATGGAGGTGTGGGAGTCACACATGGTCTCTTTTCTAAAATAAACCCCCAGAACCAGCAGAGCAGATGGGAGTCCACAGCCAGGGTGTGGGAGGCAATATTCACACTCTGTGTTTTCCCTTCTTATTGGGGGAAATGATCTGTGAGATCTGTGATCTGTGTGATGTCCATCCTGGAGAATCAATGGTCACATGACCTCCGCCAGCATCCCTCGCAGATTCTCCCATAGACTGGATATATTCAGATAAAAATCGTCACGATGTTTTCAGACCGATCTGTTGGCTGTAATCTTCCTTCTTCATGTCACCTTCCCACCAGGCTGTGCGCACCGCTTCATGCATTGAGTCTGGGAGTGCCAGCACTGGCTGAGGGCCGATAGACGGGGTGACACCACACACCACTACGTGTTCTATGCAATCCCAATCTTGTCTGTCACCATGGAACTGACCCAACTCCGGGAATTAGCAAAAACACTGATGGAAATGGGTTATATAGATGTGAGAGGACTGAACATGGGCATCTGAACACCAGTGTTGGGGCTTATTTACCAACATATAGAAACCATTCCCTCCACTGGCATCAAAGATAGGACACCATTCCTTCCATGACACCAATGATGGGGCACTATTCCTCCCACTGACACCAATGATGGGGTACTATTCCTCCCACTGACACCAATGATGGGGCACTATTCCTCAATGATGGGGCCACTGACACCAATGATGGGACACTATTCCTCCCACTGACACCAATGATGGGGCACTATTCCTCCCACTGACACCAATGATGGGGTACTATTCCTCCCACTGACACCAATGATGGGCACTATTCCTCCCACTGGCACTATTCCTCCCACTGACACCAATGATGGGGCACTATTCCTCCCACTGACACCAATGATGGGGCACTATTCCTCCCACTGACACCAATGATGGGACACTATTCCTCCCACTAACACCAATGATGGGGCACTATTCCTCCCACTGACACGCCCAATGATTTCCACTGACACCAATGATGGGGCACTATTTCTCCCACTGACACCAATGATGGGGCACTATTCCTCCCACTGACACCAATGATGGGGCACTGATTGATGGGGCACTATTCCTCCCACTGACACCAATGATGGGGCACTATTCCTAGACCCACTGATACCAATGATGGGGCACTATTCCTCCCACTGACACCAATGATGGGGCACTATTCCTCCCACTGACACCAATGATGGGGCACTATTCCTCCCACTGACACCAATGATGGGGCACTATTCCTCCCACTGACACCAATGATGGGGCACTATTCCTCCCACTGACAGCAATGATGGGGCACTATTCCTCCCACTGACACCAATGATGGGGCACTATTCCTCCCACTGACACCAATGATGGGGGATTCCTCCCACTATTCCTCCCACTGACACCAATGATGGGGCACTATTTCCTCCCACTGACACCAATGATGGGGCACTATTCCTCCCACTGACATCAAGGACCATAGGGCAGATTCGCTCACCAGTGACCCTGCAGCATTTTTTTTGCATGAACTATTCCTGAGGTCTGAGGTCTCCGGCTCTTAAGTTTTTTTTCTTTCACACAAATGTTATGTAGGCATCCAGAATCTCTCCTATTCCTATCCACGGTGAGGGTTCAACGCCGGATTCCAGCCTCTCCTCCATGCAGGAACACGTGTCGTCAGGTGAAAGCACCACCCAGGGGAGTGACATATAGGGGGGCTTATTCACTAAAACTGGAGAGTGTGAAATCTGGGGCAGCTCTGCATAGAGACCAATCAGCTTCCAGGTTTTACTGTCAAAGCTTCATTGAACAAGCAGGAGGTAGAAGCTGATTGGCTGCCGTGATTCTGAGTGCTCCAGTGTTAGTAAATCTCCCCCAATATTTTTTTTTTTACAACTCCCGCTGATCCTGCCGCCCTCCCTTCTCTGGAAAGCGTTTCCTGTAATCAAAGGTGAGCTGTAAGAAACACAAACTGAGACCTGAACCTTGTGAATCTGGGTGACAGGACGCGTCTGCCCTCCAATCAGAATGCTTCAATCCCATCACTCCACAGAACGAGCGATTCTAACACCAGCTGCAAGCTCTAATCGCCTCGTTCCCACAGGCATCGTTGCCCAATCCTCACATGGAATGTCTCTCTTACACATGTGATTTGACGTGTGCTTTGCAGATTCCGTCGCAGGTGAAAGACATTCTCCAGCTTCTTCCGTCCAATCAGAATGCAGGAATGTAGCGGCTTTCTTCGAGGATGTGCATCCTGTTCCACATGTAGCATGCCTTAGGTATGACGGGACGTGGTGTCACCTCTGTGGAATACGAAGCATGCCGCAGGTGATCGTCTCACGCCCAATTCCAGAAACGTGCCTGGAATAAATGGACTCTTTCACAAGAAGTCTCGCATTGCAGCAGTTAAAGGCGATCCAAACGCCATCACTACCAGCTACAACCTGTAACAGTGTTCCTGAACCCGCAACAGTGAAATCGGTCTGTAGATGCAGGAAAGCATGCTGGTTATACTCACTGTGGAACCTAAGGGGTTAATCCTCCGCCTTGTGTAAAAAAGCTGTTTGATCCTGTCTTCTCTGATCCTCCCCTTCTTCTGGTGTCCCCCTCTTATCTCCTGATAAGACATATCATGTGGAGACACTCTGCACATGCTCGGTTTGGTGTATATTCCTAGAGAGGTGTTTTTTTTTTCTTGGGAGAGTGCATGTGATCAGCACAAGGCCAATCAGCACTGTTCAGATAGAGGGTCAGGGGTCCTGCATTCAGAGCAAAAATAAAACTCCACCTACAGGCTTTAACCAGAGCTCTGCTAGACACTGATAGAAGTCACAAGACTGCTATATACTGCTGATGAGAAAAGGGATTTAGCAGTTTATACTAAAATAATTGCATTTCCATGTTCTGTGTACTGTGGGAGACCGGATATAGTGAATGCGGGGTCCGGGGAGAGCGGATATAGTGAATGCGGGGTCCGGGGAGAGCGGATATAGTGAATGCGGGGTCCGGGGAGAGCGGATATAGTGAATGCGGGGTCCGGGGAGAGCGGATATAGTGAATGCGGGGTCCGGGGCAGGGGCGGACTGACCATTCGAGCACTCGGGCACTGCCCGAGGGCCCAGGGTCAGTAGGGAGCCCCATGAAATGCCCCTGGTACCTTTTTTATAGGCTTTTTTGGGTGTGCTTTGAGTGTCGGCAAGGACACAGGGGCCCCATGATCCCCTATTGCCCGGGGGCCCCATGAGTTGTCAGTCCGCCCCTGGTCCGGGGAGAGCAAATATAGTGAATGCGGAGTCCATGGAGAGCAGATATAGTGAATGAGGGGTCCGGGGAGAGCGGATATAGTGAATGCGGGGTCCGGGGAGAGCGGATATAGTGAATGCGGGGTTCGGGAAGAGCGGATATAGTGAATGCGGGGTCCGGGGAGAGCGGATATAGTGAATGCGGGGTCCGGGGAGAGCGGATATAGTGAGTGCGGGGTCCGGGGAGAGCGGATATAGCGAATGCGGGGTCCGGGGACAGCGGATATAGCGAATGCGGGGTCCGGGGAGAGCGGATATAGTGAATGCGGGGTCCGGGGAGAGCGGATATAGTGAATGCAGGGTCCGGGGAGAGAGGATATAGTGAATGCGGGGTCCGGGGAGAGCGGATATAGTGAATGCAGGGTTCGGGGAGAGGGATATAGTGAATGCAGGGTCCGGGGAGAGAGGATATAGTGAATGCGGGGTCCGGGGAGAGCGGATATAGTGAATGCAGGGTCCGGGGAGAGAGGATATAGTGAATGCGGGGTCCGGGGAGAGCGGATATAGTGAATGCAGGGTCCGGGGAGAGAGGATATAGTGAATGCGGGGTCCGGGGAGAGAGGATATAGTGAATGCGGGGTCCGGGGAGAGCGGATA